CAAGTGATATTTTTAGTATTTTTACTTCAGTTGTTCATTTAATTTGAAGGAAAACAAAAAGTGTGAAATAAAAACAATATCTTTCTTGTTCATTAAAATAACTTTTAGAACCAGCAACCTAAGAGGTCCAAAAAATTTTGCAGATATGTTTACCAACGGGTTTGAGGCAAAAACTAAAACAATAAAAATGAAAAACGTGTTTATGCTCAGGCTCTAGAAATAAATCTTACCGATGTAGAACACACAGGACACACATATCCAGCAGGTGCGGTATGCGAAGGAAAACTTTTGATATGTGAAACCAGGCAGCTAGAGTGTATGACATCTACATAGAATAAAATACACATCCACATTAAAAACTGCTGTAGGACTATTCAACAGCACCTTTCATGGAGAAAATTTGCATGCAATACGCTATTATTATATCTTTACATACGCAAGCAGCCCAGTCGAGTAGTCTGAGAATCAGTCCCCTCTTCAAGCACAGCTTTACAGAGACAGCAATTAGGAGGCCAGTCGTATTCTCCGTCTATTACCCACTCTGAGTAGGTACGGATCTACAAGCAAATTAAAAAATGACGCAGTTTACACCCCAAACCAGCCATAATGCATGTTTACGTATTTAAAACTATTCCTTAAAAAGCATGATGCAATCCAAACATACTCCACAGGAAAATTAAAATTTCCTTCATGATGTCTTAACTCGACGGAACAAGATGTTCTTCGAATAAACATACACCTCACGAAAATCATAATTTCTTTCATAATATTCGTAACGCAAAATTTGCTTGATGAATGAAGTAAAGTGTCTCATGGTGTGGTTAATAAAGAAATTATCAGCAAGAAACTAGAATGATCCGTATATGACGGCCAAAAGAAAATCTTTGTAAGGGCCTACCCAAAGGGAAGCATCGGACTTTTTTTATTAACTAAATTCGCTTGCATTTGAAATTACAATGGCGAAAGCAAAATAAAGAACACCAAACACCGTATTATTCGTTATATATATGTTATTTTTCTCTCTTTCCATCTCTTAATCTTATTAGACCATCTCCGATGTATATGCTAATGCCAATTGTATATTTAACATCAAAAAGTATGATAGAGTATGTTATTTTCATTTTTACTCCAATGCATAATGCTATTTGAAATGCTAAATCTACTTTTCTCATAATCACTACGCTTTAAAAGTTGTAAAAATAAACTTTTATTTTTCAAACAATAAGAAAATGCAAAAGTTGCGATGATTACAAAAAAAAGTAAACATTTTAACCAATAGTCATCAAATGCCAAATTTTCCGTATGCTATACTTGGTGGGAAATTTGCTACAAAATATAACATATGGGAAATTTGGCACAATAAATAGCATTATTTTGGAGAGTGTTTTTTGCACTCAAATGCTAAATTTGTAATTGACACAACAATTATAGCATTGCATTGGAAATGCTCTTACTTATATTTGCAAGTGTGCTTGTAGGCATAACTCTAGTGTGCATAAGAACATAAATTTCAGTTTTATCCATAGGTGAAATAAACTGAACACTTTCACTCCAAAAACACAACAAAATCCATTTTCAAAAAAAAAAAAAAAAACAGCAACAACAACAAAAAAATCAAAAGCTTACCACGCATATTTGATGCTCAGGAAAACAGATGCATTCTCCACAAACAGGGACCTTGTGCACGAAACAGTACAACTTTGTAGCCTAAAACACCAAAAACCCCAAATATATCATTCTCCAAACTTAGAAGAAGCAATCAACAAGCTCTACTAAGTAAAAAGCTGAAATGCAAACATGCATCAAACCAAAATTCAATAATCATCACTCAATTCACACTATAAAACTCAAGAAATTAACGACGACGATCTACATCGATTGCTAATCGAGCTAATTCATAATCCCGTAGATCGCCTCAACTTCCGAGCAAATTTTACCAACTCGATCCGATCTGAATCTCGAGCTACTCAACTAAGCATTTTGCGAATAAACACAATCCAGAGAAAATTTCCGAAAATTCGACACCATTAGAACATGTTGCAAAGAGATTCGTACCTTGCGGCATTTGCAGACCACCATTGCATTGACCGGCGATTCAGCCTCCGAAGGGAAGAAGAATTTCGGTTAGGGTTTTGAGAAGATGACGACGAGGTTTTGCTGAAGAGTTGAACCGATTCGCTGATTAATTAATATATCAAATTGCTCTTTTTTGTCTCCAACAACACCTCTCTCTCTCTCTCTCCCTCTCTCTCTCTGATTTTGCAGGGAAGCGATCCCGTTTTCCGTTTTTCCTTTTTTCTTTTTTTTTCTTTTTTCCTCTGATTAACTTTCATAGCAATTATTGATTAATTTAGTAATCAATTACTGATTAATTTAAGTTAATCATTAATTAATTAATAATTTTTTTAATCAATATTAATTAATAATTAACTGATATCTATTAATAATTAATCATTTTTAATCAACAAATTACATGTTATTAATAATAAATTATTAATAAATTGCATCGTTTATTTCACCAATTCGAGTTTTCAGTTTTAAGTTTCAACAGTAAAAAGTACTCATAAAATATCACATTAACTTTTTCTACTACAGTAAAAAGCTCTCAAAAAATGCCACATGTCAGCTCGAATTGAAAACTCAAATCTACAAAGTGAATGAGGCCATAATAAATCGGTTAATCATTTATTAACAATTGAAAAAAAAAATCATTTTACTAAAATAAAAAAAAATTATCATTTATTTAAAAAGTAAAAAGCTGAGTCATTTATTAAAAAAATAGTTAAAAAATAGTCATTTACCTAATTTTTTCTATTTCTTTTCCGTCTTACTCTTATTTTTATTATGTTAATGATTAATTTTTTCTCAGGAAAGAGGAAAGAAAAATGATGGGTACGTTTAAAACTCGTTCTAAAATAATTTTATTTTTGTATGAAAATGGAAATGAAAACGTTTTCAATCTTAAACAGAAATCATTTTTAAAAATGTGTTTAGTAATTCTATCAACATATTGTTTTCAGTATAAAAAAATACATTAATATCTCTATCTCTCTACTTGAGAGAGGAGAAAACAAAAATAAAAAAAGAAAAATGATTAAAAGTCGTTTTTCATTTCTCTCTCATTTTATACTAAACAAAAAAAAAATCGTTCTATTTCCGTTTTTTATCTTTAATTGTTTCAAACGTTATTTCTCTCCCGTTTTCATTTTTTCTTTCTCTAAAAACATGAAAAATAAAAACAAAAACAACTCTAAACACATAGCCGATATTTTCCTACCAGAAAAAAAAAATTGTAATATTTCTTTAAAACGAATAGATATTTGTTTAAGACAAAACTAAATCTACATTAGGATGTGGAAATTTGAAATACATAGCATGTATAATAGTAAAATTTGGACATTATTTGTCACGAGTTTCAATATACAACGATACATTTAATTTGTTAGAATATGTGTAATAGATAATAATTGATTTGGCAATCCTATTAATAACTATACGATGACATTACTATAAAATATATATGTTGGGAAAATTATATATAATGCACCCTTTATTTTCACGTTTAAAAAGAAAAATAACTCTCGCAGCCCTTACATTTGAACTCTTGATTTCAATATTACCCTTTTTACAAAAAGAGATTGAAATTAACATGCGCCCCAATTTGGTGCTATATCGGGATCCCAACTTTAATATCACCTCGTGATCAACAATAACAAAGGACGTGCACGAAAGAGCACACTGAAACCTAATGCACACCGATAACGATAGAGGACAATTAAACTTAAGTCGTGTTTAGAATTGATCTCGTTTTTATTTTTTATATTTTTTAAGAAAGAAAAAATAAAAACGTTTTTAAAACGACATTTGGCGCAATAAAAATAAAAAACAGAAATGAAAACGATTTTTTGGTTTAGAGAAAAATAAAAAACGACTTTTCATTTTTTGTTTTTCTTTTCTCCTCTCTCGAGCAGAGAGAGAAAGAGAGACATTAATGGGTTTTTTTACACTGAAAATAATCTATTGATAAAAACTATCAAATGCATTTTTAAAAATGATTTATGTCTGATATTGAAAACGTTTTCATTTTCATTTTCATACAAAAAATAAAAATCATTTTAAAACGAATTCCAAACGCACCCTTAATTTAGATAATAATATGGTGCGAGGTTGGGTGGTGGATGGTGCCGTGCAATGGTCACGATGGTTCGATGCATGGCGGGTTGTCATGGGCTGTGCGGCCTTTCGATGAGGAGGCAAGGTTCTCAAAACGATCTCGTGAAAGTCGTTTTTCTTTTTTTGTTATTATTTTATTTTTCTAGATTCTCATGATATTGAAATCTCCAAATATTACAACTTCTTTAGGTAAGATTCGAATTATCTAAAATAAGATAAGGTGAATCCCATTGGCTTGACTTTTATATGGATGAAAAAAAAAAATTGTAATCCTTGCACCAAAATAAAAACTACTTAAAAATATCTAATTTCATACCCTAAAGATTAACTAAGGTCTCGTTTATTCCACTGATTCGAGTTTAGAATTTGAATTTTGTTATAGTAAAAACTCTTAAAAACAGTCACATCTAACTTTTTAACTACAGTAAAAAGCTCTCACATAAAATCACATTTTAACTCGAATCAGCGAACTAAACGAATTTTAAATCTTTTTGATAAGTCTAAAATTTATTAGATTACAGCATGCCAAAACACCTCAATAGCATAATCGCAGAGGGGGCCATTACCATTTCTCTGTTCAAGTTTTTTTCTTTTTTAACCAAAAAACCAAAAAAATTCTGCAAGAGTAAGGTTGGGCATTTCAAATTTAAATCCAAATAATATCCTCGTTCCTCGGACCTCACCGGAGCTTTCTGTCGTTGCACCAAATCAAATTCAAATCCTTCTAACCCAAAAAAATAAAAACGCATCTCTGTGGCTCTCTCTATATATATATTTATTTGAATAATTCCGTATATTCTCTCTTTTCAAATCAAGCCTTCCCTCTCTCTCTCTCTCTCTCATTTCCCTGCTGCAACACACTCACTCTTTCTCTCTTCTCTCTCTCTGAAAAAAGCCCTAATTTCTCACTTCCGCCCACTCTCCGATCCCGCCATGACCGCTGCTCCGCCGCCGGTCCCCGGCCGAGAGCTCTCCAACCCTCCTTCCGACGGCATCTCCAACCTCCGCTTCTCCAATCACAGCGATCACCTCCTCGTCTCCTCCTGGGACAAGGTACGCCTCACCGACTTCTTCCCCCCCCCCCCCCCCCTCCACCGCTCGTTTTTTCCCTTCTCTCTCTCCCCTCTCTCCTCTCTCACTCTCTCTCTCTCTCTCTCTCTCTCTCTCTAATTCTGGATTCTTCCGTTGTGATTCGGTTGCAGAGCGTTCGATTGTACGACGCGAGTGCCAATGTGCTGCGAGGCGAGTTTATGCACGGCGGTCCCGTGCTTGACTGCTGCTTCCATGACGATTCCTCGGGGTTTAGCGCTGGCGGCGATAATACTGTGCGACGGTGAGTTCGTTTTGTAGCCTGATCTTCTGTTTGGTTAGCAAAGAATTGAGCCATCTCATTCAAACAGTTGAAGCTTAGGGTTGACTGATCATTTGTATAGATTAGCTTGTAATTGAGCTTAAGATTGTAACTTCGATCTTCAGGCTTGTTTTCAACTACAATAAAGAGGATATTCTCGGACGCCATGATGCACCTGTACGGTGTGTTGAGTACTCTTACGCAGCAGGTTCCCTTTTTTCTCATTGCATTATTGCCCTCGTATTCTTTTATTTATTTATTTATTTTTATTTTTGTCACTTTCGACTTGCATATTCTATGGTGATTTGGACTTTGAATGTGATTTCTTAAGATTAAGGGTCAAGCTTCTAGACCGAAAATTATATTTTTGGCTTCTTTGTTACTAACTATCTGTGACTATTTTAGAATGAAATTTAATATCTTGGTTTTGAATTTGGGGGGTCCAGCTATTGTACTTCAAGTTACTACTTGTTATCAGATTTCATCTCTATTGTAGAAATGGGTGATGTAATTATATCCTTTTGTGATTAGAAACAGAATTGTACGGGCCATACTGTTTAATGGAGTACTTTCAAATAGGAAAACCCTGCCATTATTACCTGGATTAAGTTTGACGCCAAAAATAAGTTGTGGCCCTAATTATCTTTGATGTTCTGTTAAAATGACAATGGTATTACTTGTAGTTTAGTCAATTAAGTCTTATGTCGTGTACAGCATTCATATTGTTTTCAGAAACTAAAACCACATAATAGTTTCCTTGCTCTCTTTATGGTTTCAGGTCAGTTGATCACAGGTAGTTGGGACAAAACACTCAAGTGTTGGGACCCCAGAGGAGCAAGTGGGCAGGAGCGCACTCTTGTTGGGACATATCCGCAACCTGAGCGAGTATACTCCCTTTCTCTTGTTGGAAACCGCTTGGTTGTAGCAACTGCAGGAAGACATGTGAATGTCTACGATTTGCGAAATATGTCCCAACCTGAGCAACGAAGGGAATCCTCCTTGAAATATCAAACTCGCTGTGTCCGTTGTTATCCTAATGGGACGGGTACTCGTTATTTGATTGGTTCAAAATATCTAGTTGGTATTTTAGGTTTCTAAAAAAGAAAAATTGTCAATAAAGTAGCATCATGTTGCTAACTTCCCCTTTTTTTCTAGAAAAAGAAAAAAAGAAAATTGTTTTACAAGTTATACAGCTGTAATGCTTGCATCTGGATCACTTGTTAACGTCGTTACATAGGTATCTTAGTTGGTTGTGTTGTGTTTAAAAGAAGGTTTTATCAATTCTGTTAGGATGGCCTAAAGGATTAAATGACGAACAAAGAGGGTCACTTGCTTAGGTGGATATCCTAGTCTTGCCATTTACAGTCAAACATGTAATGTGATGTCTATAGCCTCAAGCTAAAATCAGGATGTTTTTGACGTAGGATCAATATAAGAAGAAGAATAGAAATAGAAGAATAGACTCAAGGTAGAGAAGAAAAGCCAATAGAGAGAGAAATAGATAGAATTTATAGAGAGCAATAAGAACTCTAGAGAGATAAACACTGGTTTCAATATTCATAAACCATTGTCTGAAATGAAATTACGATGCTGCTATATTTATAGCAATACCAAATAACGAAATAGGGAACTAAACCAATATGAAATATGAAAACTCTAGTAATGGGAAACTAACCCTACTTTTAAAATAGCATAAACTCCTAATTTAGCAAAATAGGAAATTAGACCAAAATAAAATAAGGAAAGTTAACAATGGGTAACTACCCTAATAAAATAAATTCCTAATCAAATAGAAACTAAATAAACATCTAAAACTATTCCGCATCAGTTTTCTTTTTCTTTTCACTTTTTGACTCCCTTTGCGTGTATTTCACTCTTTTTGATTCAGTTGGGTATTTTACTGACATGTCTATGTTTTGTAGGATATGCTCTCAGTTCTGTTGAAGGACGGGTTGCCATGGAATTTTTTGATCTTTCAGAGGCCAGCCAAGCCAAAAAGTATGTCATGTCTAGTAGTATTAATTGAAATTTGAGATATATATGGTTACGGTATACGCCCTGTCCTATGGCTCTCTTTATGTAGGTTACTTAGATTCTAAATTATCTTTTCTTATATATATATATATATATATATATAATTGAATAAACGAGAGTGTGTACTTTTAACTTTTATTTTCTCACTCTATAGACTTTTGTTGAAAATGACTTGTATCACTTGTATACACGGCAATAGGCTTGCACCATGGTTGGCAGTTCAATTAATTAGGAGATGCAGACCCTCTTAAGGGTACCTCCAAAAGAAAATGCAGGCACTTTATGTGTGATTATGTAAATCACTTTTACCATTCATCCGTCATCCGTATTAACAGTATTAATACTTCTGCAGATATGCATTCAAGTGCCATAGAAAATCAGAGGCCGGAAGGGACATCGTCTATCCAGTAAATGCCATTGCATTCCACCCAGTGTAAATTCATCAGTATCCTTCATCAATGTCTTCTTCTTCTTCTTCTTGCTAATATCCTGTAACTTAAAAGACTTCATATTTGTAACAATTACAATTAGTGGATCAAAGAAACTTGATTCAAGTGCGTGTTAATGCAATCAGAAACTAAATTAATCCAACCAACACATTTAAAAACCTATGAGAACTTTGGGTCACATGTTGGCAAAACTATTACGAGCTTCAAGATGCAAGTTCTTTAAGTATTGTAACAAACACTCATCTTTGTAGTGGTCCATTGTTTTGGCTTTCATAAAAGTATCGAGAATTGTTTTGCCTGGTATGAGCTGTCGGATAAATATTTTGTTTTGCCCAGGTGATTATTAAGCTTATATATTGAATTCGAAGTTAGTGATCTTGCAACTTCTTTCCGTTCTGCATGCATTTTTATTTGACTATCGTCAAAATTAACCTTTCAGCTACGGTACATTTGCAACCGGAGGTTGTGATGGTTTTGTGAATGTGTGGGATGGCAACAACAAGAAGAGATTGTATCAGGTAAAAACTTTCAGCCAATCTCCACTTTCTTTTTCAATTAATTTTTAAAATATTTTCATCTTACTCGGTCATGGATACATCAAAATGTTCTGATCTTTTTATTTTGCTCAATTTTCTATCCTTCTAGTACTCAAAATACCCAACAAGTATTGCGGCACTTTCTTTTAGCAGAGATGGCCGTCTCTTGGCTGTAGCTTCAAGTTACACGTTTGAGGAGGGTGAAAAACCGTAAGATTGTCAAATCTCGATATTTATCTCTCTCTCTAGCTATTTCATTTTCTCACGGATTCTGACGTACAATACATTTGTTTTGCAGCCATGAACCGGATGCCATCTTTGTGCGCGGTGTAAATGAGATAGAGGTCAAGCCAAAGCCAAAAGTGCTACCTTCGTGAATCACATAACTCTGAAATTCCGTTTTTTGTTGGACATAATATATAAAATCATCCGTAGTAGTCTGCGATGCTCTGATGTCTGTAAGGAAGTGTGTCCTTGATATGTATTGTACTCTCAAGTCTTAGTTGAAGTGATCAGACAGTAGAATGACACACCCTTTTAATTTATATATATAAATTTTGCTTTCTCCGATAGTCACGCACGCTTACATCCTTCTATTTCTACACTATTATTTTGCTAACTGTGCCATGGAAAGAATACGATACAGTAAATTAAAATGTTACTTTAAGAGAATCGTCAACTGATCTGACGGCTTTGAAAAGTTACTGAAGGGGAAACGGTCTGAGAGTTGCATCTTATTACAATGAAATTTGAAATTAGAGTGCGAAAAACCAAAGGTGAATCAAAAAGAGAAACAAATGGAATTGTTTTCTTGATAGCTTGGTCGATATAGCTCTCTGATGTGGTACTTTTTGGAGACAAAAGAAAATCCTAGCTTCTTCATGTATCTATATCTATACCATATTGCTAAAACCGAACCAGTTGTGGCCAAAACTCCCAAAATGAGTGAAATGTTTCGGACAAGTTTTTTTCTCTTTTTTTTTCTGGTTCGTTTTTTTCCTGTCTTTTGCCTTTTATTTTTCTATTTTGTCTTCATTTCTTTTTTTCTTTTTTTTTTTTGTCCTTTCTTTCTTATAAGAAATGGAATACATATGTAAAAACAAGAACTCCAGATTAAAAACGGTAAAAACAAATCATCTGCGTCAAAATCGCCCTCGTGAATTCTGATGACAACCCAGTACGCATAATTTTCACAGCATAAACATCATCAAGCAAAGGTATATCTGTTACTGTAGTATATTCACATGAAACAAAGAAACACGAGATACAAAATCTCTACATGTTTTCTTGTGGGATAAGATATTAAAACATTAGAACCAGTCAAAAAGTACCCACATCTACAGCATTTGCTAAGTACTACAACTGCTTATCGTCATGAAATGGGACATCATTAGTCCCCCATCTTACAACAAAAAGTTCAACCAAATCCCCAAATGCGACCAGGCTAGATATGTAAGCTAAGTAACGAAGAACTTCTCCTCCTTTGTATATCTTGCAAGCCATGCTATGCTTTGTCATTTACCTAAATCCAGACGGAGCTGCTTGTGGATTGCCTCCTGCTCCCCTCTTCATAGCTCTTGATTGAGCAAGCATCTCATCGTAATCCTGATTGAAGAAAAATTGTTAGGAATTTTCATGCAAGCAAGAAATTCAACAAGGAGAATGTGCAAAGATTATTTACCCGTTTCTCAAATGCAATATCGCGCGAGCTAATTATTTTGTCAGCAACACCATAGTCTATGGCATCTTGTGCTTGGAGATACTTAGGTCTCTGGACATCTTTAGCTATTTCTTCCTTGGATTTGCCAATGCCTTTTGCTAGTAGCTCAATGTAATACTCGGTGTTTGCATCCAGTTCCTTGGCCTGATACAAATTTGTTCAGAAGCTGAAGGTAGAGAGAAAAGAGAGAAAGATGGAAAGAGGCACGGGTGGTACCTTAATCCACATATCAATGACAGCCCCACTTGATCTGTTGACCTTCGGCAGATATAACTTTGCTGCAATACGACACAGTTAACTATCAGAAAGTAGGGAATGATGATTGCATATAAAGCACGCTTTCTAGGCACGAGCGTGAACATAATCTTAAAAGCATACGAGCAAGGATGTATTCAAACTGAAGGGTTGCAAAGAGCCAGTTACACGGCTTTCAAATTAGATTGAATTGTAGATAGCATGCTTAGTTTTGAACAGAAAGTTGGAACCATACTGGAGGAATTAGGTTGCACCGCACGATAACCCTTTGCTCCAAGTGCTAGAAGCATTGCTGCTTGACCGTAAGCCATTCCACAGTTGACGGTGTAGACATCTGACTTGACGTACTTCATGGTGGACATGCAAAGATTGAAGACACAGTAATTCAACAGGCTGGAATACTGATAAACAAGACTTGAAAACAAAAATATAATTTAATGCAATAGGTCCTTTTTTTTTTTTTTTAAATACATCATGAGCTCCGTGTAAAACTTAAAAGGTACCGACAGAAAAGATGGACGTGTAACATACAAAATGGGAAAAACTAAACTTATATTCCCATGCCTTCTACTAGAAGATGCCAAAATCTAGTGCACTGGATAATAATACTTACGGACATCATATCAGCTATAGCATATGCCTCAGTTTCAGATCCAACCGTCTCCATCTTCTCATTCTAAAGTGCATAACATAACAAAACAAAACAAATAAGACTTGGTAAGAATACAAGAGAAATGAGCCCCAAACTAACAATATCACGAACCACCATCTCCTGGAAGGAATATGTTTGAATACAATGGACACTAACCTGCGTCCCAGATGAATTTATGTATAAATAGATAGGCTTAGAAGGGTTATCATAATCCAACCACAAAAATTGAGCAACAAGAAGTTCAGTTACAGCGGGGACAATCTGCAGTAATCAGATAGCATCACAGGAAAGCAACGATGAGTTAAAAATCCAAAAGAGAAATTAAAATACTTAGTCTATCCAGGATTTTACAGAAACAAGTTGAAGTGTCTTACAGGCATGCCCAAATAGCATATCCGAGCATCTAAGAGTAAGGAAGGCAAATCCGGAGGAGCAGTTCGGGGTCTTCCATATCCTCTTGCTCCTCCCCCCCGGTACATGCTTACACTCATGCTATATTTTGAAGGACCTTTATCTTTCATGCCTGATAGACTCCACATCCCTCCATGATTCAAATAGTTGTGGGACGACGAGATGCTTTCCTGTTAATATCAGTTGAATAATATGAACTTTGGTTAACTAAATATAGTTTTAGGTTCTTATGGAATTAAATTACAAAACGTCAGCAAGTTAAGAACTTTCAAATTATGCAATGAAAGTGAACCTCTGTAACTGCTTCTGACTGGCGTCTGACGGGATTATCTTCTGTCATGAACATGTCCATTTGGGAAGGAGAAAGGCCATACAGATACTGGGGTGCATTCTTATAATTATCCATTACTACAACACAGAAGATCATTCTAGTTCTCAATAAATTCAGTCAAATAACAATTATAAGAGCATGAACAATCAACACCCTCAAGTTCTAATACAGAATCCTATCCTCATAATGTAATAACAAAAATACGGTGACACAACTAAACTTTTGGGATCAGGAAGGCCTGCTCAATACCCAATATAGAAGACAAACAATAAGCATAGAGGCTTTTGCAATGAACCAATCACAGGGTATACAAAATGTCATCGCTTCATTTGATCAACCTATTTTATCACAACATATTCCCAAAGTAACCTATTTCTCCGCCTCATTCCATCTTACTGTCCATTTAAAAGACTCCTTCGCAGACAGACACAGAACCTCAACCCGACTTCTTTCGTTTGCCGAAAACTTGCATTTTCCAAACCAATTTCCCGCCTTTCATAATACCTCCATAACTTTTTGCCCCCCTTTTTGAGTGATACCTCCATAACTAATATGTATCACACTTTAAAGTGCACTCAACTAAGGCCCTACCATCCTATAGTCGCACTTTTTACATCAAATATTCTAACATCAGCTCAAGAAACTATAAAAACGATAAAGGAACAATAAAATTAAAAAAAAAAAAAATGGGTTCACCATAGTTTCAGCTTTCCCAAATAATATAGCACATAACATATCGCCTCAACTACTCATTCTTCCAGTCTCTCATCTAAATCGTTCAGAAAATTAAAATTAATGTTTGAATTATTCCCACCCTGATTTTTCATGCCTTTTCTCGGCAACCAAATAAACCCCTATCTAAGAGAGGGGAACGAACCCAGTTAATATATTAGACCAAAACTAAAGTAAATCAACCCCAAAATCAAAATAACAAGGATAATATTTAGAATAGCTAACGAGGGCACCATTGAAATGAAAACATGAAAACTGAAGAGAGAGAGAGAGAGAGAGAGAGAGAGAGAGAGAGAGAGAGAGAGAGACAAGACTCACAGCCATCTTTGAGATTTTGCTCCCTGAACTGCTTGGGAATATGGTCCAGCGATTTGGCAGATGGAGATACGAAGAATCTTCGAGAAGTGGGTCGTTCTCTTCCGGATAAAGCTAGAAAAGAAGATGGTTCGCAGAATAGCTTTGTGCCATGAAGAAAGGAAGAGTTTGGGAATCCAATAGAAGGACCCAGCTGGCGAGCTAAGGAAGACGGAGCCGAGAGAGATGAGATGAGAGAAGTAGCCATGGAAATGGACTTAGAATTGGAATTAGAGGACGACAGAAGGAAGGAAGAAGACTAGAAAAGCTTCTCTTCTATTCTATGGCTTCCCAAGAAAATCTTGGACGCTCCGAGACTTCTCACTTGCTCTCACCCTGGGAAATGTGATTGTGAAGCAGACTCCACTCCCTAATACGGTGTCGTTTTGATTGAACGGCAATTCTATGGGATTTATTTTTATTTTATTATTCTCCTTTTAATTTTTTTTCATCCTCTAATTACAAAAACTCCTCCTAAATAATGACTTTTGTAACGCTCTCGGTGCTTTCGGAACTCGTTCTAAAATGATTTTATTTTTAGTATGAAAATAGAAATGAAAACATTTTCATTTTCATTTTTGAATCATTTTTAAAAATGCGTTTAGTAATTTTATTCAGAGATTATTTTTAATAAAAAAAACTGAAACTGCGTTTGGTGGTTTAATTTTTAAGAACATGTAATAGTGTTTAAAATAATAACATATTAAATAAATAATAATTGAAACAAAATTCATGAAAAATCTCCAACAAACATCAACCTAATTTCATTCCAAAGCAATTGTAAGTTTCTTCTCTAAATATTAAGGGCTCAATTTCATACTTTCAGAAAATAAATAAGAAAACCCAAAAACCATTTAACGTATTTAAATCGGCAATTCTTCGACTGCCTAGGCAAGAGGATGACCGGAAAACTTGTTCAGACTTTTGGAGCGACCCAGGTGAGGGCGTGGCTGCGATCGTCCCCCTTGACTTGTTCTGGTCTGAAATGCGTCACAAAAGAAAGTGGTGGGAATAAAATTTAGGGGAGAGTTACTGGCCCTGATTTTGTTGGAAATTGCAGACACCGTCTTCGGATCTTCAGGGGCATTAGGAAGGTCGTCAATGGCCTGCTCCTACTCCAAATCTCATGGTTGTCATTGTTGTCCCCAAAGAAGACCAGAGAAGAGAGACCGGAGCAGACCGGAGAAGACCGACGAACTGTAACCGGAGAAGAGGATGAGAAGAGAACGGAGAAATTCAGGAAGAGATCGTGTGTGAGAAGTGAAGGGCAGAAAAAAATTTCAGAGGAGAGAAAATGGAAATGAAAAAATGAAAACGAGTTTAATTTATTTTTAGAATAGTGGTAGTTTTTAGGAAAAATACAAAAACGATTTTGTTTTCATTTTTGGTACGGTGTTAAATCAAACACCATCTTTATGTTGTTTTCATTTTTCTCTCCTTGAAAAACGTGAAGAACGTTTTCAAAAAAGGAAACAAACAGGCCTTTTGTCTCTAATTTTTAAAACGTAACATTTGTTTCTCTCAAATTATGAATCGTTAACAAAAATACTTCTCTCTGTTCTTTTTCAGTTGGTGTTTCTAACACAAAATTAGCTAATATTATATAATGATGAGTATTCCTGTATATTTTTTAAAATTAAAAATTAGAACTTTCTAATTAACTTTTATTTCATTAATTCACCAAAAGAGTAAAATTAAAACTGTTGTTTTATTGTTTTGTTCTAGTTATCGTCATATGAAAATTAAAATATAAATTTTAAGAATCATAAGTAGAAGAGTAATTATTCTCTAAATTAGTTAGCAACAATCAATATTTGTATGACATGTGGTGATCTGTTATAAACACTAACAGAAAGAGCATTTTTTTAACGATGCATAGTTTGAGGAACACAAATATTACGTTTTAAATATCGGAGGACAAAGTGTTATACGAGTTATAATTTAAGAGAAATTTTTGTAATTAATCATTTTTTATTAAAAGATGTTTTGTACATTTGCCCCTAGGTTTTGTCAACTTCTCTCCTGAACTTCTAATATTTGACAATTTTCCACATTAACTTACATAACAATTAAAATGTGTCTTATTTTGATAATGATTATGTTAAAGTAGTGATGAAAACGCACATTCGATAAAAAATTTCATCATTCTAAATTTAAATTATAACACAAGTATCTCAGTTTCTCAACTTTCAATTCCTTAAATCTGGTAATCTGACATAAAATTAAGATAAAATTGATAAAAATTGGACACACTACTACAGTTTTACAAGTTAGGAGAGTAAATTGCCAACATTAAAAGTTCATGCAGCAAGTTGTCAAAATCTTATATATTGAAAGGGCAAATGTGTAAAATTTGTTAAATGGTGATGCACCTTGCAGGTTTCTACTTTCCAAATGTTAAATGAGTTTTCCGTTAAAATGACATCGTTCATTTCACCGATTCGAGTTTTCAGTTCTAGATTTTTACAGTAAAAAACTCTCAGAAAATATCACATCTAACTTTTTCTGCTACAATGAAAAGCTCTAAGAAAATATCACATCTCAACTCGAATTGAAAACTCGAATCTACAAAGTGAACGAGGTATAAATAAATGAAGACGTGGTTATGAATTCGTGATTATTTATACTTCAAAGTATAAAAATAATTACATTAAAATGTAATAATTAATATATCATTTTCATTATTGATAAAACTCCTAAACACTAAAACATTTTGCGTTTTAATGTTGCTAATTTGTAAATGTTTCAATTTCTCAGTGATTGAGACGTGATTATCTCTAAAAAATTTAAAATGTGACTCTCCAATTTAAGTGTCATGGACAAAAATGTTAAAAAAATCAAAGTTTCAAAAATTAATGACCCGTTTAGAAAGTATTTTTGAACTATCATTTGAGTTTTGATTCAATTTTTTTTGAAAAAACTATTGATGAGAATTTTTTTATTTAAATTCTTCGTGAGAGAAAAACACTATAGTAGAATCATGATTTGAATTTTGAGTATATGTATCAAGCAACCCATAAGTAAATTTATATGTTCAAGAATCAAAGTGACAAAATATTCAAGCCCATGAACCAAAAATACTAATAACTCAGAATAAAAATAGGAAAAAAAAACCAAATTGAGAGAAAAAAAATCCTAAATCGATTTGGCTGTCGTATGGGGAAGCAATATAAATGCAGCGCTGAGGTGGGTTGCATTACTAGCCTCATTCTTATTAGGGAAGAAGACGTGGTGTATGTCGCCTAGGGTTGGGATGAGAATGAGGATGGGGGTGAAAGTAATTTTTTTTTTTTTTTTTTTTTTTTTGCGTGAAAAATCATTCAAGAAATAATTGAAACAATTCCATTCTTAATAACCAAACTTTTCTTAATAATCAAACTTATAGTCACGTAAAGTGCAATATAACTTATAAAGATATAAAAACAAACTAATAAAAGGAGATTAGGCTGTTAGGTCCACATTTAATTTCACCTTATCTCTTTCAAAGTTAGAAAAAGAAAAAGAAAAAAAAAATGAAAATGATGATGAAATGAGACAACTTACAGATGCAAACTGGGGACAAACTTGTAATTAAAGTCGAAGTTGGAGACAAATTATTGAATATCATCCTTCTATTTATCACGTTTGAATGAACAAGCACCTCCCCTGAAGTTCTTATGTGCCGGTCTTTCTTTACATGCCGGTTTTTAGTTTGTTGTGGTTCAACTAAAGTAAAGAAAATAAAGAAAATTACAGAATTTATTTTTAAAAGTATGAGTTTAAATTTTTACTTTTTATTCTTATTCTTAATTAGTACATTTTTACAGTATAATTATTTGATTAAAAAAGTTATCAATTAAGAGTAAATAGTATAAATTTTGACTCATACACTTTTCAAAAGTATTTATTTCCTTTTCTCAAAAAAAAAAAAAAACATGTTTTAATTTTTTGTTGTTTCTAAGGATGACAATCTTATCCGCCCCTAATAGGGTAGATATGAGGGATGCTATATGGGGATGGGACTGATATGGGGGTTAAAATTAACCACGAATTAGGAGTGGGGCAGGGGTGGGGGAAGCTCCCCCGTCCCCAACCCAGCCAGATTATATGTACTTTTATTTAATACATATTTTATATATGTGTGTGTTATATTTTATAAAAAAAAACTTAAATAAGATATATAGTTATTAGTAATTATAGAGGAATGGGAACCAACAAAATTATATTTATAAATATTAGTGGCTATATTGCTACATTTTATAATAAATTTAGTGAAATTTTTATAATAAATTTAGTGAAATTTACTTTGAGTATAATAATGTTATAATTTTTTTTAAAACTTTTATTTTTTTAATAGGTAAATAGGTAAGGTGCAGAAAGTTTTGCCCAATTAAGAATCTCCGACCTCAACCCCACCTTAAATTAAGCCAGCAGCATGGGGGCGGGTATAGGGAGCAAAAAGGGGATAGGGTATAAAGGAGGGAGAAGCATAGCCGTTCTCACCCAGCCCCATTGACATCCTTAGTTGTTTCACCAGAAATAACATAACGACAAGGCGTTTATCAGTTTAAATCGTGTCATATGAAAGTGTTAAACGCACCAATTGCAAAAAAACGACATTAAATTTTACGTCGTTTGAAGGAAGAAAAATGACATGTCGTTTGTAGTTTAATCGCTTGGCAAAACAATAGAAAGATATATCGTTTGAGGGGAAAGCGAAAAGGTTATGGGGCCCACAGGGTATGTTTATGTGGTTTTCCTTTTTGCAGTAGGTTCAATTCAACACAAAATGACGACATATCGCTTGACCGGAAGGTAAAAAGGGCATGTATTTTCCTTTTTCTTCTTTAAAAAGTTAAAATCCCAAGTTAATCACGAATTAAATACTTTTTTTGAAAGGCGAATTAAAATACTGAAAAATTATGTTGGATGGCCTTTTTTTAATCACATTTTTTCATAAATAACCGAACTTTTTTATTTTATAAAAATAGTTATTTTATTTACACATGTTAATCACTGATTGACTGATTAATGATTGATTTATGGACTACAGTCAATCAGTGATTGATTCACGGTCAATCATGATTGACCAATTTTTTATTAATTTATTAATATTTTATCATTAATAAACACGTAATTTGTTGATTGAAATTGATTAATTACTAATTAATTTTAATTACTTATTAACTAATGTTGATTAATAATAAAGAATAATAGAGCTAATCAGTGATAAACTAGAATCAATCATGATTGACTGCTAAGTCAATCAGTGATTAACCGTTGAGTCAATCAACAATTGACCACTAAGTTAATGAAAACGGTAATTTTTACAATTTTACAAAACTTCGACTATT